GGATGCTGTTTGCTATTGTTCTGCAAGTGCGCAGTGGATCATGTAACACAAACCTCCACGCCACACCTCAAGAGATTTCGGGGAAAAGGCTAAAAAAAAGACGAAATAAGTTCTTATTAAAATGTATATAAGCACAACTGTCTTAAGGGGGTCGTCTTTTGTCATATGAGGGGAAGATGGAGGGGGAAGGGGATTTACCGGTACGTAATTTGGGAGGAGAGAAAATGAAGATAAGTTAGGTAAAATATTAAATAAGGGGGTAGGGGGCCGTTCATAATTTATGGCGGGGGTGGGGGTCGTCATGACCCCCCTAAAATGTATGTACATGAGTACAAAATTGATGATCCACACTCCCCAGAACACACACACACACACACACACACACACACACACACACACACACACACACACACACACACACACACACACACACACACACACACACACACACACACACACACACACACACACCACACACCACACACCACACACACACACCTCCCTTTAAAATCATCATCACCCCCTAGCCATAAATTATGAACGGTCCCTAGGGGAATGTTATACAATCCTAAGATCAGTACCACACCCCAATAATAAATGGCCGGAGTCCCTTATAACATGAACTAGATGTGTACAATTTATAAAAAAAATTCATTGTGATTTCAATATTCGTTTAAAGGTATACATAAGTATATATGGTGTTCATCAACCCATTCTTGTCGTAAGAGGTCACTATAACCATGATAACGTGATCGGAGAATCATGGGCATGTTGAGTTACATGTCATTAAGTTAATGTTAATGAATGGCACTAACGACTATCTTAGCGCTAAGAGAGCTTAGAAAATCTAGGCCCTGAAAATCTGCTCGCTGACTTGGTTGTTGCATGGCATCGTTTCCAACGACGTAGATCGATGCCCATGATGTGAATCACTGGATCGTCTGGTCCTCGATTATTTCCTCCCCATCTGTCTGGAATATGAATAAAGCGGTATTAAACAACCATGAAACGGTCAGGTATTTAGCTTTTGAGTTCAATGAACGTGAATTTCCACCAAGAAAAGTTCATCACCCATTTCACCATCTCGAGTCAGTGGTGGGTGGCTTGTGACACTGTGACTGGTGTGTCAGTATAGCCCTACGTTCGTCATGCCATCAATCGGTTTGATCGGTTTGTCTGCTCCAGACTCGATTACTTTACTTGTCGCCGTAACCAGTGTTCATATGCATCCTGTTATGTAATTTAAATAAAAAAAAGAGAAATAAAAACAACAATATTTTTTTAAAAATATAATTGTTTCGCATACACGATTCCTTTAAACTACTTCTATGTTAGCTATGTTAGTAATGTTAACCTCGTATGACTAACTGGTAATCTCAGTGTCCGCGACATATCCCCAACCTGACAGAGAAGGACAAGGGCTGTAGCCTGGTGCGACTAGACTGACAGAAACAGAGAAGCATTTGTACTGGTGCCGAGACCAGTAGATGTGAAGGAATTAATGGGCTGAGCCCCTTACATTCGGAACAAAGTAGGGTCGTCGGTGGTAATGGCTTGTTAGTGGTGGCTTCCACCTGACGCTATCCACGAATTGGTAGAACTGGTCTTCAGCAACCCATGCTTGTCGTAAGAGGCAACCAACGGGATCGGGTCGTCAGGCCCGCTGACTTGTTTGACACATGTCATCGTATCCCAATTGCGTAGAAGATACTCATAATGTCAGTCACTGGATTGTCTGGTCCAGAGTTAATTATTTACGGACCGCCGTCATGAAGCTGGAAGGGGGCGGTGGGTAGCCCAGTGGTTAAAGCGTTCGCTCGTCACGCCGAAGACCCGGGTTCGATTCCCATTTCTGGTGTCCCCCGCCGTGATATTGCTGGAATATTGCTAAAAGGGGCATAAAACTAAACTCACTCACTCATGAAGCTGGACTATTGCTGAGTGCGGCGTTAAACACCAAACGATAGAGGGTAAAGGTGATTGAAGCATTTATAAAATCTGCACTAAAGGAAACATTAAACATGGTGGAAGCGAAAATATTGCAGTAATATTACCAATGTAATGAGTGAAACACATGCACGTTTCCCCATATGCAGCATTTTGGTGTTAATTGGCTGCAGTTAATGTGTGTCACAGTTGTCATTGAGTGTTTAACATGTTCAACAGTTCACATCAATGATACGCAATGACTGTATCCGCCATCTGGTTACGTTGCTCGATATCAGTTTAATGAGTATAACTGCAGATTCTAAAAAGAAAAAGTAGTAATAAACATGTAATGTTGTATCTCGCTCAGATGACACGTACACCATGACGATCCGCGACAGCATCTGTCCGTGCAGTACGAGCCAGACCGACAGCGCACCTGTGGAGTGAGGTTTTACGCCGTTTGTTGTGCAGTTACAGACGCATCGTGACTGGGACATCAAAGCTGGATTTCATGCACTGCTCTATCAGATTGCTTCGAGAAGACCCTTTGGCTTGATGAACGAACGCTTTTAGCACTCGGACACATCATCAAATGTTACACACGTGGACATAGTGGCGACAGTATGGGCTTGTTGTTTGACGCTGCGTTCACAGCTGTATGGCAGCTGTCTGTTTTAAGTTTGATATTCCAGCTATATGACACCGGTCTGTTGGTAGAAGAATCAAGACCAGAAGATCATGAGTGAGTGAGTGAGTTTAGTTTTACGCCGCACCAGCAATATTCCAGCTATATGACGGCGGTCTGTAAATAATCGAGTCTGGACCAGACAATCCAGTGATCAACAGCATGAGCATCGACCTGCGCAACTGGGAACCGATGACATGTGTCAACCAAGCCAGTGAGCCTGACCGCTCGATCCCGTTTGTCGCCTCTTACGACAAGCATGGGTTACTGAAGGTTCATTCTAACCCGGACCTTCACGGGTCAGAAGATCATGTGATCCTCATGAGCACTGATCTATGTAATGGAATACGATAAAATGCTTCGACCTACTCCGTGAGCCTGACGTGGTTCTTGAAGGCCAACACCCGTGAAGTTAAAATTGGTCTTCTGTAACCCATGCTTGTCGTAAGAGGCGACTAACGGAATCGGGTAGTCAGATTCGTTGACACATGCCTTTGTATCCCAATTGCGTAGATCGATGCTCATGTTGTTGATCACTGGATTGTTTGCCTGGTCCAGGCTCGATTATTTACAGACCGCCACCACATTGCTGGAATATTGTTGAGTGCGGCTAAACTCACATTGGTAAGATGGAATTCAAATAATGATCTTCAAGTCTTAGCAGTTCAGGCATCAGGCAACCCGGCAACATTAACAAGAAAGCATGACCTACGTATACTCCGTTGCGTTAAACAACAAACCTACAAACCAACTTGAAGGCCAAATCAAACCAAGACTCATGCTTCGTTACACTAGTCATGACTGCTTCATTAAATAGCTGTACACCACTGTCATGAGTGTTTCATTACATAGCTGTACACTAGTCATGAGTGCTTCATTACATAGATGTACACCACCGTCATGACTGTTTCATTACACAGCTGTACACCATCTTCATGACTGCTTCATTACACAGCTGTACACCATCGTCATGGCTGCTTCATTACACTGCTGTACACCATCGTCATCACTGCTTCATTACACAGCTGTACACCATCGTCATGACTGCTTCATTACACAGCTGTACACCATCGTCATGACTGCTTCATTACACAGCTGTACACCATCGTCATGACTGCTTCATTACACAGCTGTACACCATCGTCATGACTGCTTCATTACACAGCTGTACACCATCGTGATGACTGCTTCATTACACAGCTGTACACCATCGTCATGGCTGCTTCTTTACACAGCTGTACACCATCGTCATGGCTGCTTCATTACACAGCTGTACACCATGTTCATGACTGCTTGATTACACAGCTGTACACAATCGTCATGACTGCTTCATTACACAGCTGTACACCATCGTCATGGCTGCTTCATTACGTAGCTGTAGACCAGTCATGACTGCTTCATTACACAGCTGTACACTAGTCATTACTGCTTCATTACACAGCTGTACACTCGTCATGACTGCTTCATTACACAGCTCCACACCATCGTGATGACTGCTTCATTACACAGCTGTACAACATCGTGATGACTGCTTGATTACACAGCTGTACACCACGGTCATGGCTGCTTCATTACACAGCTGTACACTAATCATGAGTGCTTGATTACACAGCTGTACACCATCGTCATGAGTGCTTCATTACACAGCTGTACACCACTGTCATGAGTGTTTCATTACACAGCTGTACACTAGTCATGAGTGCTTCATTGCACAGCAGTACACCACTGTCACGAGTGCTTCGTTACACAGCTGTACACCACTGTCATGACTGCTTCATTACACAGCTGTACACTTGTCATGTCAGTGACATGAGTGTGTGAATGAGTGAGTGAGCGAGTAGTGTGCTGATCAGGGCCCCGTTCCTCAAAGCGATCGTAGCGCTAAGGTGATCGTAACTCCCATACTTTAACATAGACTTACAACTGTCGTAGCGCTACGATCGCTTTGAGGAACGGGGCCCTGTACTTCAGTTGTATGTCCATTTCCTTTATGTTACATTATTTTACAAGTATGGAAGGCTAAAGATGTGCAGCTACTTTAGAGCGAGACACACCAGCTTGGGCATACTTATCACCTATGCCTAAACCCAGTGTGAATCAAGGGTTCATTTTCCTTCAGGCTTGTACATGGCACGATTTGGTGCAACCATTTTGATGGGGCTCAGCGTGCACAAATTGGTCTCAGACTCAGGTTATTGACAGAGTTCAGTATCAATATATGCCAAAGGATCTTTGCTCTCAACATCCACCACACAACTGTTTGAAGTCCAGACTTGATTGGTCACAGTCTGCCTCATGAGCTTGAATACTGCTCAGTGCAGTCCTGTACCACAAACACAACAACTGATCTTCTCGGTGTCACACCACAGAAAACAAAACAAGAAGAAACTTTGAAAGTCAATTTTATTGGTGGCCTGACAGGTTCCTGACCAATATACGAGTCTTTCAGCACAGAATTCATTAAAAGTTGATTATGTTACATACCCTATGCTTCTCATCATGTACACAATGAGGGTACTCCCTCATACAACCAGGTCATTCAGAATCCCCCTCCCCCCACCCCCCCAACCCTGTCACAACTCCATCTGAACATGTCTTGCTGACCTTGGGAATCGATGTCAAGGTCAATTGTCTTGCTTGCAAGTCTGACAAGGATACAGTACAAGTTTTCAATTTACATTTGAACATTTGATATGTTTTATAAATGAATTGTACGTAAGGCTTGTACCCTGTGACAGCATGACAGTTACACCCGTTCACACATACTGCACATAATGCCATAGCAACTACCTGCACACCCTACTCTCTGACTTAAACTGGCCCAATGCATTGTTGCGGTTGAAACCAACCAATGATGTAGGTAGGGAGACTAGAATGATGGGATGAGTATTATCAAAAGTTTAAAACACTTACAGCATATGAATGAACCTCGCTATGTGAAATGCCAAAAATGAATTATACATCAAAAAATACATTTGATTCTACGCTTTAATTTGTTTAAAATGCAAGCATTCAGTAATGGCATTTGAATTAAAAACCCTGATACTAATTTTGATTAAAAACGTAAATTGGTATGTGTATGTTTAGTTTAGGGTCATGATGAAATTGGCCAACAAAAATAAATTACAACAAACAATACTCTGACAACAAGATGTCATGGCTAAGCCGTTTAAATAATTCACCACAAATAAGTGTACAACTATCTTGTCTTCAGTAATATAAACATGCTAAAACACCACTGTGTGTGGGTAAAACCTCGCTGACCATTCTCAACTAAAGGGCTCTACACTGAGGCCACGTTCAAACCATAGAGGGGGGTGGTAGGTTTGACAATAAAACAGAATAGAATAGCTCACTTTCGATGAGCAGCCCCTGAGTCAATAAGATAATCTTCAAATATTGGACAACTATGTACATATATTACATCATAACTCGTAGTTAATTAGACCTTGTGGGCCCATAGACAGTGAACAGCTCTGTTCTGTAAAGTGAATGCTTCAGTTTCTTCACGTGTTCAGATTTGTCTTTCTCAAGCCTGCAATGTTCTCACCAAATCTTTGAGCACACATTTCTCTTGGCAGTCCATGGTTTCTCATAGCACTGCCAAAGTTACCTTTCTCATGCACAATATAAAGAAAGCATCTTCAAATCTAACCACTCCAAAATCGGTTATCTTGGAGATAACAGATGTCAGTGCTACCAAAACAAATATTCTCTCTGTATCACATGATCTTTGGACATTCCAGAGTTTGTTCTGCCATTTAGTGCTTTCATTGTTCAACGAAGCATACAGCTTGCGAAATCACAGTCAGTGCATGGTCTTTGGTTGTAGTTGAAGATGTCACAGTGACGTTGTCGAGGTCACAGTGACGTTGCAAAAGATGCCAAAGTCACATAGTTTAAAGCATTTGCCATGACTGTGGACCTTGATTGAAGCAGACTATCACCGTCTCTTTGAGTGGTACTCTTTAAGTAATTCCCTGAACGAAAGAATACAACTTTTTCCAAAGAAACTACGGAGATTGCTTCGTGTTTGCCATTTGATTGTTACCAAGCCACGTCGCCCGTAACGTCATGACAACATTTTAGCTTGGAAGTTAGTCGATCTTCTCCACTTTGGCCACAATTTTATCCTGCCACATCGGCAACACTGCATTATCGTCACCAATTTCTTCGAAAACAGCACCTTCTCCAAACTCATCACTGTCACGTTTGAAGTAGTATCTGCAAGGAAATAAATACATGACATTATAATATATTTACCTTTTCATAGGAATATAAATGTTATGAAGATGTGAACATATGTGATGGAACAGTTAAATCCTGTATTGTTTTGATGTGTTGACTCACTTGAAATTTCCCTTCTTTGTGATAAGAGTCTTGAACTGTGCAAGAGTAATGCATCGGCCCGGAAACACGTATGGCGGTGCGGAATAGGCTCCTGCCGAAGTAGATGCCCACAATTGTCTCGCTGGATGAAGAAGCTGCGGAGGTACTAGTGTTCATACTTGTGTTAGGTGCAGGCGGGGTTTCCTGTAGGTCTTTGGTCTCCTGGAAATAATTGGACTTCATAAATATATTGCTTAAAGCCAGATTCAAACTTTTAATGCATGTTTTTTAAAGCAACATGCAAACAATGCTTGTAGATTATATATTCCTTTCATGGTTGTCCTATTTCACATTTGTTCATTTCACAAACTCAATATAGGCAAAGCCTTTAACATTACTGCCTAGAATTTTTTTGGGAAGTTTTAATTCTTGCCAAAATTTTAAATTCTGTATGTACATACTCGAAAGTCTGGCTCCCTCCTGAGATGTCCAAGTCACTGGGAACAGTTTTGGCAGAAGGCATAGTGCGCATCTGGGATGCACTCTGGGATACGACAACTTTGCTCTTGTCTCGGGACGTGACTCCAGCGAAAGATCTAGAAAAGATAGAATAACATTAATATCATCTGCGCAAAAATAATGTTCTAAGGGCAGGTAACTCTGTGATAGTGTTGTCTCCCTTGCACTGGTAAACATTAGTTAACTAATACTGAGAAAATAAGATGATGCTCACAGATAAACACACAAAATACATAGATTTACATCTCATTTTCAGAAATCAGAAAAGGTATGAAAACACTTCTGAGTGTTCGGTTATCATTATGTGGCTTCTCCAATCAAAATCTATGTGAAATATGCCAAATATCATAAGTTACTGATCATATTCTTTGAAATTAATCTTATCATGATTATTAAAGTGAGAAAACTGGTATTCTAGCAATGTGTGACACTCACTTTGATTTGACTGGGCCTGCAGAAGAAGATCGAACTGTGCCCTCTGCGCGTTTGCCACTGCCTGCCATGGCAGATGTCCGTGATTGGTCCTCTAACCGGCGACGAGCCTCTTCCAGCTGAGTAGTTGGGTTCGGGGGTTGGGGAAGTGGCATGGATGAGTCCTGCGCAAATGGTTGATTGGGCAAGATCTGTGCAGACTGGCCAATCGGAGTCCATGACAGCAGAGAGCTTCTTTCAACAGAAGCAGACCGACTTGTTCCGTGCCCAACCTTCTTGGAACTAAAATGAAAATTGAAAATTTCTTTCACAAAATGTTTTAACATATTTACACAAACATTTAACTCTCAAAATAACCTACTAAACTGGAAAAATTTACATCATTTTCTGCAGTCTCACCTTTGTTTGTGTGTTTGCAATGAGGCACCAGCTGATTGGTTGAGGCGATGACGATGCGTTCTTGTGTGATGATCCCTTGTCTACCTCCAGGTGGCGATGCCAGGTTCCTGCTGACGTTCAGAGTCCATCATCCACTGCATAACCCTGGGAGAGAGAGTCAAATATTTATTCACATGCAGTTTGGAATAACACTACGCACAACGATAGTCACACAGCAGACTCAGCTATTGGGTGGGGTTTTGAAAAACCAGCATGGCGTCATACCCACTTGGACAGAAATGTTCTTGCTTGCAACGGAGTGTCAGTATGACCTCGTATATACCCTAAAAGTATTGAATAACCTGAATATACAACGATACATTCACAGCAGACTCAGCTAATAGGTGGTGTTGTTTGTGTGTTTGTTTTTTTTTTTGTGTGTGTGTGTGTGTGTGTGTGTGTGTGTGTGTGTGTGTGTGTGTGTGTGTGTGTGTGTGTGTGTTTGTTTAATTAAAAAAAAAGCAGCATTTCTGTCATGACACCATGCTGGTTATCCCGCTTCAGTAATACAGCCTACATGAAGAATCAGCTCTAGTCATGCATGAAGAGAACCTGGTGCTGAGCATGACAACTGCAGATACCACTTAGCTATCTAACACAACTAGAGTAAGAACAGATACAGACAGATAAAGGAGTGAGACAACTTCCATAGTGGAACCACCTTGTTCTTCCTGTCAACTGATACACCTACCTACCACAGAGATACAAGTAGAAAAGGAATATAGGCATGAAGTGCTCTATGGAATATCAATCCTTGAAGTGTAGCGAAATTTATCGCGTCAACTCTTTCTATGCACTTTGCCATTTGTTGTTTGTCAATAATAAATGACAAGAATAAAGCAACTCAATGTGTGAACAGCAAACAAACTTGGTAGAACCATTTGAAAAAGTAACTGAAAGATTCATGAAGGCTGTAAAAACTCTTTACATCACTCAACCAAAGCTGTCAGTGCCTACTTAATATTAAGAACATTCAAGGTACATAGGTGCATTCAGCATGGCATGTTTGGATTACAGGCAAAAAGAAACTTTTATGCATATTTCAAATGAGGCCTAGAATATAACTGTTATGTTTGTCAAAACTGATTAATGACATGCCTTTGAGCCATTGTTAAGAGCATATAAAATTTCTGAAGGTTTTATTATAGGATGTTGCCTGCTTTAATGTTCTTGCTTGTAACTTTTATTGCACAATTTGAACCAAACCAACAATCCCCAAAGTACATAATCTCTAAACATTTGGAACAAAACTAAAAGCTTTTCTGATAACCTCTTTAGGAAAAAATGAGGCATTAAATACAATTAAAAAACTGATGCTAATTTATCTTTTTCTTCAGGTCTGCTCTTCAGCGTTTTAAGTGAAAGGATCTTGTAATCTATTTGAATTTCAACTGATCCTAAACCTTTCCACTAACATGAATCAATGCTTTTAATCTGTCCCCAATTAGGGTTCTTCGTTTGATGTACACATCGTCTCTGAAAATTACTCATAACAGAAACGATCAGGAGAGCGCAACTGAACAAGACCCCATTTTATGCTTTGAAATCAACAGATGAGATTTGTCAGTTTCCCAACAAACTAACACTTTGATATTGCTAACTATCAAAGCTGAAAAATGGATTTTTAGAGCAAAATATCCCCATTAAGTTCACAAATAAAATTAAAAAAATATAAATGGATAATAGAATCTTTGAGCAGCGCGGGACATTTCAGTCTGATATCGGTTCTGGCTTTCTTGATGTGTCTTAGATCTCCTCTCATTAGCTTTTGTGTTGAATTTCAAAAGAGGTATTCACAGAAGCCGCACTCATCAAAGCATCGGCAATTCATCACGTTATTTGGAGCATCATTTCAACCAATAAATCTTCATTAATTATTCTTTTTCCACTCAAAACAAGTATGGCTTTGCAAGCGGTCAAAAGAGTTGCTTTGTAATCCTAGCACCGTCAAAGACAACGACAGCAGTTATATGTTTTACACAATCAAAAAAACATGAAAGTCGGCTCTTTGAAGTCAGTGGCTTCATGTCAAACAATTTGAGCTGTTTGGAAAGAAAACGGCCAATGGTTGACCCTCGTCAGCAATATCAATTACTAAAGCTGAGCGGAGCTTATCTACAAAGTACAGCCTCAGACACAGTAATACCGACACCCCTTTGAAGTAGCAATTTATCCTATTTCTAACAACAAAAACAAATTATTAAAACAGAAAAACTAGGAACACATAAAAGGCTGGCCCTATAGAAGTAAATTGATAGAAACGTTTCAAGCTTTCTCTACTCTCTCTGGGATTCTATTTCAATATGCTCACTTATTTCAGTTATGAGTCAAACTTGAAAACATAATTACATGGTAATCACTCCCTTTTGACATAATAGACGATTGAGGAGTTCTATTTCTTTATTCTAATCAAGTTGGTCGGCTCATTTAGTTTTTGTTGCAGCGATCATCAAAGAAGTTGGGCCAGGTAATTCAAGTCTACATCAGACATTACTCATACTACTATACACACAACTACTTTCATGATGATCCCACTCTTATTGCCTTTTTTAATAGATTCTTATTTCGTTTTTTCAATTGTTTTTCCTGAGATCAGAGGAAAGCATGAAATGTCCATTGGCTAAAATGATCATTGACAAACAGGTACAGCAGCACAGGAAGTGAGTCAAGTTCCTTCATCGCCTGCACTACAGTGCTCATATCATCTGTGCAGTCAGTTCTGCCAATGTGGTGTCAAAACAAATGACAAAGATATCATATCCAAAAGGTTTTCCATTCCTAAATTCCATTCAAGTAAGAAGAAATTTGTTAGTAATTGCCAATCTTTACCAGAAAATGTTTTCATCCAATCAAATTCAAAAATATAGTTGCTCACATTTTAATTTACACATCAAAGTTTGTTGGTTACATAAAGGAATCATGAAAATTCAGAAATACTTTTTAATGGTTGGCAACTTTTAAGCTGATTTACATTTACCCATGTAAACTTTTCATATTTGTCCAATTTTAGAATTAGCAAATTTGAACATACTCAATTCAAAACGTGTTTGAATATTGGCCACCTTTCCTATCGGTCTTGCAGTCGACACGTGTTGTTTAAACTAATTAAATGCTATCGTCCTACCAATCGCACAATACTGAAGGGTTAAATTAAGTCAGTCTTGCAGCTGACACATAGCATATTCCGTGTGTCTTAAACAAATTAAACGCTATCGTCCTACCAATCATACAATACTGAAGGATTAAGCATGCTCCAAAAAAGTCCAGTTTGCAGCTGCCATGTTTGTAACCTGCAAGTGTCGCAGGCACATTGCAGGATCATCTAACACCCAGTATTCAATAGCTTTAAGGACTGCAAGAGTATAGCACACATGTGGTTAGCTTATCTCATCCATTGTTTATGTTGTAGTTCGTAAACAGAGAGTAACCTTTCTCAAGACAAACACATGAGGCTGGGTGTGTACAATTATACATAAAACAAGCACACGGGGAATGCACCAGACATAAGAAATACTTCTCTGTAGATTCCCTCTTTCAAAGGTCCAACAATTTTTGCTTTTAACGATTGTTTTCCTCTACTCTGAAAGTCTGCTAAGCTTGTTGTAGGGAGCCAGAAAAAGCAGCGTAGAGCTATCATAAAAGTGATACTGTTGGGGGGTGTCAATGGGGGGGACCCAGGAATGGGGAAACAGATGTGGGGGAGACTAGGCGCAGAGAAGGTGCATACTATCAAATCTGTAGCACCAGCATCGAGCCACTTTGATGTGAGGCCGTAGCCCCTAGAGACCTCAAGCTGGGGAGGAATGGGCTAGGAAGTCTGGAAGTGTGTGGCACACTTGTATATTCAATACCTCAAAGCTGAGGTGGGGTGTGTGGGGCATACTGGTACATTCAACACCTCAAATTTGAGGTGGGATGTGCAACACACTGCTATGTTCAGAAAACAAAAAGTTCGAGACTTCAAAGTTGATGACAGACTTGTAAATTCAATGAAAGTTGATGTTGGGTGGCAAACTTGTACATTTAATACCTTAAAGTTTGAATTGGTTTGACTTGAGATAAGGGTAAGACGTCTAAATTGGCATCGGCTTACTCTACATGTTCTCCAATTTCTGTATCTTTAAGTCCACATTCAAAGACATATTTAAGGGCAGGAACAACACAATCATATTGATGGACATAGTACTGAACGAACTAGTACAAGGAACCAGTGCAATGTCACATTCCCCATTGCTAGTGGAATAGCAGGAAAGGGATGGCAGATACTTTTATACATAATTTCTACCCATACGCTTGCCCCTCCTGGGGCAGGGAAGGAAGAGACCCCTTGAAGTAACCCCTGCCCCCCAATGTGAGGGAGGTGAAATGGGAGGCACACTTCCCATGACATCACTCTAATCTTCCATGGTGCAGACTTTATCAGCTCGCAAACATTATCGGACAACATCAAAGGCTGGGAGCAGTTTTGTAATCTAATAGCATTAATTGGTTGGTTCAGGGCAATTAATTCTTTCTTCTAAGGTTCCACTGATCATCTTGTTCTCAGATGTTGTAAGAGTGACCCCATGTGCAAAGAACTCTCACTTGCTACACAATTACAGACATGGAAACACCAGAGATGTGGGCTCCCCTATTATGAATCATCCCAGATCAAAGCCCCTCAGTTACCACAGGAGCCATGGGCATAGAAAGGGAAAAGGGGAAACAACTCCGCACAAAATGCTTCCTCCATCATTGGAGATCCCTTTGTAGAAGTCACTGTGACTTCCTTGTGTTTACATCTTCTGAAGGACATGCCGGAAAGATTAACTGTTATCAAGGAATTGTAACAAATGAGTTCTGTTACAAAGAGTTTTCCTACTGGAAAATTCTGTCTGATGAAACAAGATAAGGGATCATTGGGATATTTGTGAAACACATGGAAGCTGGACGTTCAGAGACAGCACGATGCATACATTATCACATATTGATCACTGTTTGTAACAGTATGAAATATTACACTAGTCCTCACTGTCTACAATTAAAGGTTTTCTTTGCACAGTCTGAAAAGTCCTCGTAATTCTTCCATGAATACAAAACATAAATTTCACTACCCATTAGTACATTTTCAACAAAAAATCTTTTGATTGATGAGCAAATATTTACGATTTGGCCTAAATCATTAATTATAAAAAATTCTTTGGTCATGCTTTCCTTCTCGATGAAGTACGGCATCAACATAAATTATGTAAAACTACCTCCTTGAGAATAACACGAGCCATTAACCTTGGTATATAGTAATTAATATCTTCTCACATCAAACCAATGTTGTGATGGAACCACATGGGTAATTTACAGCTGAAATCTCATTTTCCTTTGATGTTTAACAAGCTTAGACTAACACAGAGGTGAAATGGGAGCTAATTTGGTGTTCCGAACTGATCGACCACGCCATAATGATTACATCTTAACTAATTATAGGCAAGGTACATGATCACAGCTGACTTCACATGGCCTATAGTCAGCTAATCTGAGGATGCCTAGACTAAACACTGCTGGTTCGCGTCTAGTGTTACTAACAAATGATTTGTGTTTTTTAACTGAGAACTGGAAAATTTGGCTGGTTGAAGCAGAATATGAGACCAAGGAATCTATGGGAAGCAGTGAAATGTGTGTGATACAAGATCCCACAGCCAGATCAATACTGCTCAGGCAGAGGAATACAATCACAATGTGTAACTGTGTAGCACATTAGCACAACTTGCACCTGATCTCTGCCACAGTATACAGTGGGGGGTAGGAAAAGGCTAAGTGAGCATGTAATATCTGTTGTATTGCATATCGATGCATGTGATATATACATCTATATACACATGCTCCATTAACAGAGGAGGAGAACCAATAGCATCATCGCATTTTTGTCAGGGGTTCATGTGTATGCTGTTTTACATATATAACAGAACATTTCTGTCTACACCAAAATGATTTCTGGAATGCTGTAACAAGTATTCAGCAACTATCAATTATTTCTTGTTGATCCTGCGAGAAACAAGGGAAAAAAGGAATGTGTGTGACACTCTGATACTTGTTCAGTGTTAAGACAAAGAGGGACAGAGAAGTACAAAATTTGAGTGGAGGTGAGGTCACCATGGTGCAGGTTAAGCCTCTCGAGACAGCTTATGGACTTTCCTAGGGGAGGCAAAACACACAACCATTTCCAAGAGATACATTTTTCCATTAACTGCCCATTTACCATTCCATTTGCCAAACAGGGAATCATGTAAATCTCACCATCTTCGAAATGAATTCAGTACATAAATTATTTGAAATGAAAATTAAGCAACTTACTTTTCAGCGTTAGGTCCGGTCACTATCGGCATACGTAGTAAGGAATCCTTATCAAACACCATGCTTATTCCACTGTCAATATGACTACTTGCATCAGAGCCTTTTCTAGTTGCACAACTCTTTTTGGATGACCTTCCGCGAGTCTCTATCTCACGATGATGGAACTCCGTGAAGCTCCGAGAACCGTTATTGGGGAAATCACTACCTATACATGCCATACTGTATTTCTGCGCCTCATACTCCATTTGTTGTTTACTGGTCCGTAACTCCCGAGGAGGATGGTGATGATGGTGATGGTGATGTATATGACGATGTGTTCCTTTGTTACAACTCTCATCGCCAACGCCACTATCACATGATGCAACAAAGTCACGATTTTCCCGTTTCCGGCTACGATGCCCGGACACACCACCAGCGGGTAGAGTTTTATTTAACCGAAGCCTGTCAGGCGATTTGTTCCGAGGTGAATGTCTACCTGGTGACCGGCTTGGCGTATGGTGGTTCGAGTTTGCCCAAATCCGAGAACAGTGTTGATCTAATATACTCTCAGCCGTCTCCTCCTCCACAGCAGACGTGGACATCATTGGAATGATGGAGGTGGCGGTCGTATTCTTCATCATTGAAGTTCCCGCCGTTTCATCAGCCTGAGGAGGGACAAAACAGTTTTGAAATTTGTCTTACGAATTCAAGTTTGGCAAGGCCTAACTTTTGTAAAATTGTTCTCTGCCATTGTAAGAAGTCAATATTGTCTTTATTTAAAAAAACATTCAACTTAGTCATACTGATTTTCTCATGCTATTCCAGCTATATGGCGGCAGACTGTAAATAATCGAGTCTGGACCAGACAATCCACTGATCAACAGCATGAGCATCGATCTGCGTAATTGGGAACTGATGACGTGTCAACCAAGTTAGCGAGCCTGACCACCTGATCTCGTTAGTCGCCTCTTACGACAAGCATTGTCGCCTTTTGAGGCAAGCATGGGTTGCTGAAGACCTATTCTACGCCGGATCTTCACGGGTCCAATGGGATCTGATAACAAAACTGATCTTCCACAGTACTAACATTTTATAATCGACAGCATTTCAAGAAAGTTTGATCCACAGCATTTTAAATAACAGTATTTTAAATTTTAAAATAAAACTTATTTTGGAAAATATCTACAATATAAATCAAAGATGGCCCCCGGACCGTTACACACCTCACTCAAGCACCTCAACTTCTCATCAACCTTGGCCCCTGCCTCCTGTTCTTCAAGGACACACTGCATCCTCTCGATCAACATTTGTGCGAACTGTTGAGGGTCAGTCTCAGCAATATTGCGATCTTTGGGAGCCCTTTCTGTCCGCTGGAAGTGAAATAAGATCATATTTTATCCCTCTCATGCAATCATCAGTAATCAATGACATTATTTTCACTGCATTCCATTGTTTTCATTTAATGAACAGAAACATTGATTATTTCCAGTCAGTGAGTGAACCATGGTTTATACAATATATTATTCATTCAAAGTTCCCATCTGAACAAAATAGATAATGCTTACATAAACATATTACATATATATAATGTGAATTAAGAAATGCCAACTCTCTTACTTACAGGGATAAACTGTGAATGAAGCATGAGGTTCGGTTCTCGGTTCTGCTGTGCCATGGTCTTCATAGCTTTACGCTGACGCTTTACATTGTAGTGAGATGCATCACTGAAAAATAAAAGTTGACATGTTTAGAAAGATGGCTTAGTCAACAGTATTTAAGTCTCATATTGCCTTGCTTTGCTAAATGTGGGACAAAATTGGTACTTGCTGTTTTACCACCTTGATAAACCGCACAAACAAGAGGTAACAGTCACATTTGGTGCAAATAATGGAATTGAACCCAAAAGGTTGTCTGGTTGAACACTTAGTTGTTTTTGCTGCTTAGTTCATTCGGCCAACCAGCAATCAAAGAAAGTTTATTTGTTAACAAATTACTAGTATGAAAAGTATGTGGATGATTTGATGAGAACATTGATTCTCTGTGTCTATTCTTGACTGGGGTCTTTGCCACTCATTGAATGAATATGGTATTATGCCACCTTCAGTGATATTTCACCAATATTGGCAATGAGCTTCTCATGTTGTACCCATGTGGAGAATCACACATGACAAAAGAATGCCAAACTACCAGCCTACCCAATCCTCCAGCAAAGACAGGATATTCATCACCAGTATTGCACAGATGACAGCATGAAAAATATTTTTAAATCGTGCCCTTGACAAGAAACGAATAAGTATTTTTCATGTCAAGCTGACAGGTTAACCACAATTCGTCCCCATACCCCACCCCATCAACAAGGTATTTCACAAGTTGAACACTGAAACCCATCACTACCATGCATGCTCCACTGAAGTAGCCGAGGTCAGCGACCTCACATGCACACACAACATTCTCCACCTTGGCTTGTACTGTATCCCCCCACCACCATCAGCCATTACAGCCAACCATCAATACAACATTTAAGCTGCTGCTATAAAAGGTAAAGCTATCTCCACCATCAAAGCAGACTTTACTTTGATTGCTGCTGTCCACAAAGGTAATGGAGACAAGCCTTTGAGTAATTAGCGATAATACCTTCCTCAATGTTTATCAATTAAGTGTCTAGCTTAATCCCCCATTGTTTACAGAGTTTTATTACAGGTGCAAAGGGATACAATAGACTGCTGGGGTGTTTTATGTTCCTTATTCCCTGTAGTGACTCCACGGATTCTTTTGATGAAGTAAAGAGAATGGCTGGCAGCAATAAAAGTTTCTCATATTTCTATTTGGACTGTTATATAATTCAAGATGAAAGAAGGCTTTGTTTAATACCTTATATATCAATAGTTGCTATGAACACAAACAAGGATATCTTGAATGTTTGCTTTACTTAAATGTTTAAATTTGTGGAGTAGTCCTTGGTCCGAATCCATCTACTATCTCAGTGCTGTCACTAACCCCATACTTTATCTTTGAGTGTTGGTGTACCTTGGTAGAACTGTGAACATCTTTATAATAAGAATGAAAGAAGCGTGTAGCTAAGCGTTAATAACAACTAATTCTGATTTTTTGTTTAAGCCAAGTGTTAATAACATTTTATAGACAATTCTTCTGTAAATGAGCAAATTCCAATATTAACAGAGCCTCAGTGCAGGAATCCTTTGTTTTATTTGATATTTGTGCAAAACAAATAGTGGTACTACACTACAAGTACCAGAAAGCCTCAATATTACGCCCTTCCTCCCCTCAGGTTGCAATAATGCTCAATTCATACAATCCAATCTTCAAACCAAAAATGTATTAGTCAGTTTCTATTTATTCTTAATATGCCTAGGGCTAATTCCTGGGTTGGTCACCTTTCATTTGTATGACCAGAGCCAGCATTTCCTTGACTTAGGGGCGATATCCACTATATCTCCCTGACTGGGGGGCTATATTCACCGTATCTCCGGCAGCCCTGAGTCAGAACAACTGGACAGCCAGCTAACAGTTTCAAGCTTCACTGGAGGTGCCCTTATTGTCCCTTGCTACCATTCAACCCAACTAAGACAGACCCTCTACACAAAGAAAGTCAGCCTGAGGCAAGCCTTCTTAACCTGGAGCAGTCTACCGGGCTAAGTTGGCTGCCCCATATCTTTTGTTACCAGTTTTCTCTCCCAAGCTTGCTTTGCAGGTCCTATCCAGCTCCTATGAATGGAACGAGTCCACAACTCACTGATCAGGGCCTTGTACTAACAGCCAATATGGCTTCCATTTTGAATCCTCTCTCCTCCCCTGGAGATGGGGGACCTTCAATTTGTTTTATCTATCAATCTCAGGATTCAAAACACAGAGCAGGTGCCCTTAAGGTTGTGATAAACCATCAAAGAGCCTCTAGTCCATCAAATGATGAGACCAAGTGACAAAATTCTAAGACAGTTGAAACTAATTTCTTATGAAACGATAAAATGTGTGAATAACAAGAAATGACAAATACGGATAAATAATCTAAATTTCTTAAATAATTCAAAATCATTTGAAGAGCATCACATATCATTGCATTGAAAACACTTCCATATTAAGGTAGAAAAAGGTATGATCATGTTATATCACCATATACTGTCCATTGGGTCACCCAATTGTCACTGCAATCTCTAACCTGATTATTAAAGTACATGGTAATACATTCAGGACTGGACACATAACAGTCCCTCTCTTCACTCCTCATTAAATTAACCACACTGCCTGTGTAATGATACACTAGTACAGGACATATCTCCTGACCTCCCCACATTCCTAGATGGACTAGTCAGCTGTGTGAAGATTTGACACAGTCCATTCCCACAGAGGGGTGGAAACACTTACACCAGATTTTTTACATTCTTAGCAGAGCATCAAAAGGCTAAGAGACAGATAAGCAAACAACTGCAAAAACACTTGATGGTAGAGCTAGTAGTTTCGAAGACAGGGACCTCTCCACAACAATCTTGATGTATTCTTCAAACACTCGATAAAAATCACCACAAAGTGCCAAGTCACGTTATCAGTTTGTGATGGTGAGGCCCACCTCCTGATACATCAAAACTATGTCGTAACTCACTGATCAAATGCCCAACTCAACAACAAGGAGACACCTTACCACCTCTAGCATTCACAAAAGACCAACATCTTAACATACCTGTCATTTCGCAATCAATTACACAAATGTTTTGCTGACAAAGTTACATTTCTTTTTACAATTTAATCTTTTGATATGAGCAAATTAACTGAATTTCACAAGATATTAATCACATCAAAACCTCTTTTGAAATTTGGGACAAAAAGTAATCATTTTTCAAACTGTCTTTCATATTTCCCCTTCCTCAAATTCATCTTCCTTTTATTTCGCCGCTCTTTTTTCTTCAGAAGATCGTCAAAGAGACACATGGTTTTGTCATCTACGTGAAGTCTTTGACCGAAGCTGATTTGAACCATAATGCTCTTCATTAGATTTTTTCAGAAAATCATCTGACAACAGAGGGAGAGTGAGCACTTCAATGCAATGATCACTCGTTGTTCTGTTGTTTTCAACAACATATTACAAAGAAAGATGAGGCCAGGATGAAGTTAACAAGTTAATGGAAACTCGGATTGGATAAACCTCCAAGGCAAATTAGTCTACTACTTGAAAGCTACTGCTGAACTCCGTTCTCAAGTCATGCTCTTAGACAAACTACAAGAAATCTCATAAAGAAAGCCAGCACAAAGAGACATTTACAAGCATTTGTGTTCCATGAAAAGATCAAACCAAAGGAAAGTTTAGCTGAACAAGAAAAAGAAGAAGCATAGTCAGACATGATATATAGGCCCGAGTTAGAGGACAGTGTTCTCCATACTGCTATCAACACAATCTCACTGTTGTGGGCCAATCACAGGCCTGCACTGGACCAGGTAGAGCTTTTGAAGATCAAAGCACCATACTATTCATTAGATAAAAAGCTTTCCGCTATGGAAGTGGCTAGGCCTTTTATAAACAAGGCATAAATTGCTTGATGGGGGCTGGCCCAGGCGTTTGAAGTTTGCATGTGTGTTAGGCTCGACTGATTGTCAATGGCAAATTGATCGCCAAAGAGGGTAACATAATGGGGTGCTTCCCAGTGCCTCTGCTTCAAAGACTGTCAGACAAAAGCCTGCTCACATGTGGATACGGATCGTAATCACCCGCCATAGTAATTTAATTACTACAAAGAAACATATAACATGAGTTGTGCTCGTGTTCAGGAGTGGGTTTTCGGTAAAGAACACCTTTCTGATTCATGAACAAAAGCCTACAGAGAAACAGATATGCTGGATGGTAGAAAATACCACAGCTAAAGTTTTTAATTCTGCGTAAGGGAGACAGAACATATCTGTTAGAAGCGATGTAGGTTTCTGGTTCGGGATATAGGAAACCTCTAAATGCCTGTGTAACCAACATCAAATAAGTCATGAAAATATTGCATTACATCAATAAATGATGTTTTGGATTTCAAAGAGATCTGTCTGTATCTAGAACATTTCATCTTAATGAAATGACAAAACATATCTTTTTATCAAACATGAAATTCTAAGCTGATTACATGTTTGTTTCTCTGTAACAATGTAGAATTTTATGGAAGGTTTATGCACATCCCTTGTTCAAACTTCAAACGGAGCTGTCCTCTGTGGTTGCAATTAATGGGACATAAAATTGCAAAATAAATAGTTTACCAGCAGTTGATGCCTTAGTATGTTATTCACTATAATTCAATATAATTATTCCTCTGAAAATCTTTGACTGAGAAACATCAATAATGGGACATGTCCTAACAGAGTAATTTTCAAAACTGATGATAAAAAGAAGAAAATGAAATTAAAAAAGAAAATCCTCTTAAATTATATTTTCATAAAATACACATAAATCATCTTGCTCAAACACATGCAATAACTTTGTCATTTAATCTCCAAGTTTAATAATGACTTACAAGTTCTTGTGAGAGAAAAACACACCCAATTGAGTAAAGCATATTTTCTTGTCAAAATTGGCTTTTCTCCCAACAAATTTACAGTGAAGATGTATGTAAGATGAATTTCTATGAACCATCAATGCAAACTCCCTCAACTGTTGAATTGTCATCGGGGCTTCCCATAGCACATGGGAAGGAATTCATCTAGTCTGTTCCACTTGAATGATCAAACGCTGGCTTGTAAACTAATATCACCCAGCCTTCCACCTCTGCTTATGATCACTCAACCGCAACACGATTACTGGAGGCCCCCACCATATTTCGTGTTCAACAATGGTTGAATGTGGACATAAAATTTTGAAGATAAACTAGCACCTCTTTGTTATCCCGGGCAGGCCATCTGTCTGATGTATTCAAAGCACCCATGCAACCACGGGCAACAGTGTACCCAACCTCTTACAAGTCACCTCTGATGAATAATTTTTCATGTTTAATGGCAAAAAGCAAATCTTTGATAAAGAATTCTACTCTTTATGTAAGGCTCAGTCTGTGTCGTACCTGACTAGGTTCGAGCTTTTAGAGAAAAGTTAAAAGAGCATCCTTAATGTTTCCATGATATATTATTTATTATGCTTTATGTACACTTGAAAGAGAAGACATAGGATCATGGCTGCCTACGATTGATTCCTGCTCATCAAATATCAAACATCTTTCAGACAACTGCAGTGAAAAGATTCATTGCCTTCCAAATCACAAACATCTGTGGAAATGATAAAAAAAAGAACTCTTTGAAGATGTAAGTGATAATACTCCTTTCGGTCAGAAGATAAAATGACAGAGGTTTTGAAAATATACAATAACAATCTTTAATCTTATTTTTCTCTCCAAAAGATAACTAATTTTTTGGACTTGTTTCATGTATATTGCAACTTACAATGCATCTTTTATTTCATAATTCATGAAAATAATGTTAGCTACAATCATTCTGAACTTCAGGATAAGAGATGTTGAAATCGTTGAACACAAGCCACAGAAATACATCAGAGGGAGCACCGTAATGAGACAAACTGTCATAGGGAATCTACTGAAAACAGTAAACATCTCTAGATTAATGTGTATGGGTGGGTGTCTGTCAAACTGTCAGCATATATTGTGTGTCTTAGTGCTTTTTGAATCGTGTCTGAACAAATCTGCTATAGTTATTGTTCTTTGATTCATGTTTGGTGATGTATTCTTAAAACTTGAGCAATATGGCACCAGCCTGTAAATAACGAAATCTAGACCAAAAATCCAGTTATTACCAATGTGTGAGTGAGTGAGAGTGAAATCCAGCAGATGTATGCGGGTGAGAGTGCTGTGAGTGAAATCCAGCAAACATCAAAATGTATGCGAGTGAGTGCTGTGAGTGAGTGAGTGAGAGTGAAATCCAGCAATCAAAATGTATGTGAGAGTGAGTGAGAGAGAGTGAGTGAGTGAGTGACTGAGAGTGAAATCCAGCAATCGTCAAAATGTATGCGAGTGAGAGTGCTGTGAGTGAGTGAGTGAGAGTGAAATCCAGCAATCAAAATGTATGCGAGTGAGAGTGCAGAACATGTTTAATACAATATTCCGTATGTATCACACACTCCTAACATTATCTCCGCGAGGCCTGCAGCTGACTAGTGGTTGACAGCACAAGTATTAACCCTCAACATGGGGGATATATGGACAGTATCAACAGAGCTGGCTCTCAGGGGGTCCAACATCCAAACATGACTGAATCAGTGACTGTATCCACCGGATCCAGTAAGATATGTGTGACAGTGGTCTATGTTTAATTAACTTGAATTCTATCTCACTTTAAGACATCAATGTTATTGTTTTACTCACATGCTGCTGTCAGTGACTGACATTGTGTCGTCAGTCAGGGCGTCACTTGAGAGCGACTGCAGTTCGCTGTCTTGAGCCGAGGCAGGTGCGTACGACACATGGTTTGGGTAGGACGAATGGCGAGAATTACAATACAGTGGGTACCTGAAAAAGAGAGATATTCTTATATTGAAACAAAATATATGAATACATATAAAGAAATGGCAACATTTCTCCACAATGCAAGTGTAACAGTGGGAAGATTACTTGCCTAAATTCATATTTCATTTGTAGTTGCAACCAATGTATTCTTCTACAATAAATGTAACTAATATGAAAGTGTAAGGAAAAACTAGAAACAAAATGGTCGAACAGGTCAACTTTTGATCCCTTTGCAGTCAAACTCGTTATGAATATAAACTTAAAAATCTCCATTGTCACGATAATGTTCGTTCTAGTGTCACATGGATGAAGTCCCATGTTTTCGGAATACTTATATCTCAATTCAAGCAAATAATGAAGTTTATCCAAAAAAAATGTGAAAGCTGTTGATCAACACTTTATGCCAGTCAGCATGGGTGATCAAAGCAGCACGGCTGTTTCATGATGTGAACAGGACAAAAGCATCTGCCTGTATTATTGACAAGACTTCATCATGTGGAACTTGAGAACCAGTTAAGCCTACTAGCGCTGCATATGATCATAAGCTAGGAATTAGTTACTATTGATGAATATCCGACATAAAAGATCAAAAACACACTTCAAAACGTAATGTATTATGATTAAAATATAAATGTTGTGGACTGCCCTGATCAATATTCATACTGCAAGCTTGTGCTTCAGTGCTTTCAAGATCACAAGAGACTGGGGGCTGTTTTGAATCAAAATTCAGTTTCCAGTGACATTTTATCAGGAATTTGCAAACATGAAGTTGTTTATCTTAAAGCTCCACAGATCATGTTCTGCTGCCTTAACCAACAGGAGTTGTTCATATGCAACCATCCAGCTGACTGACCTTACACCTTCAAGACGAACGAGCAATTCCTACCTGAACCGTTACTAGAGATAATACGGTACTTCATTAACACTCGTAGCAGTTTATTATACAAACATGAATGTTATCATGTTAAACAATTTCCTTGTGAAAATGTTTCCATCCAATATATGTAGTTATCTCGGAACATAGGGTGAGGTAAACATGTAAACAAATTCAGAAATTCTTAAGCAGTGCTCATGCTTGGAAAGATTATCAGAGACATGCACGTTCTGCTGCAGCTGGTGGCGGAAATAGCAAGGACATTTGCTTAACTTGGCTGGGATTAAAATCAAGTATATTATGGGATAGCTGTGACAGTTCATGTGTGGCATACCCAATATCCATGTCCAGGAGATAAAAACTCATAATGTTTGCACTGGGAGCAGGGATGGAATATCAATGTCCAGGATATAAAAACTCATACTGTCTGCATTGGGAGCAGGGATGGAATATCAATGTCCATGATATAAAAACTCATACTGTCTGCACTGGGATTAGGGATGGGATATCAATGTCCTGGAGATAAAAGCTCATACTGTCTGCATTGGGAGCAGGGATGGGATATCAATGTCTAGGAGATAAAAACTCATGCATTGGGAGTAGGGATGGGATATCAATGTCCTGGAGATAAAAGCTCATACTGTCTGCATTGGGAGCAGGGCTGGGATATCAATGTCTAGGAGATAAAAACTCATACTGTCTGCATTGGGAGCAGGGATGGGATATCAATGTCCTGGAGATAAAAACTCATGCATTGGGAGTAGGGATGGGATATCAATGTCCTGGAGATAAAAGCTCATACTGTCTGCATTGGGAGCAGGGAAGGGATATCAATGTCCCGGAGATAAAAGCTCATACTGTCTGCATTGGGAGTAGGGATGGGATATCAATGTCCTGGAGATAAAAACTCATACTGTCTGCATTGGGAGTTGGGATGGGATATCAATGTCCTGGAGATAAAAGCTCATACTGTCTGCATTGGGAGTTGGGATGGGATATCAATGTCCTGGAGATAAAAACTCATGCATTGGGATTAGGGATGGGATATCAATGTCCTGGAGATAGAAACTCATACTATCTGCTTTGGGAGCAGGGATGGGATATCAATGTCCTGGAGATAAAAACTCATACTGTCTGCATTGGGAGCAGGGATGGGATATCAATGTCTAGGAGATAAAAACTCATACTGTCTGCATTGGGAGCAGGGATGGGATATCAATGTCCTGGAGATAAAAACTCGTACTGTCTGCATTGGGAGCAGGGATGGGATATCAATGTCCCGGAGATAAAAACGTATGCATTGGGAGTAGGGATGGGATATCAATGTCCCGGAGATAAAAACGTATGCATTGGGAGCAGGGATGGGATATCAATGTCCTGGAGATAAAAACTCATACTGTCTGCATTGGGAGCAGGGATGGGATACATAGAGAGCAAGGCAGGGAGGGAATATCACAACAGGTAACCAGTAAGGGGACAAGCACAAAATCAGCATGAATGTGATACAAAAACATATAGCAGGTTGGAGATGAAATAAACCCAGTTGGTGTAGGTGGCGCAAGTTATAAAGCAGGATATGTTACACTTCTAGGGATGAGATATTGAATATTGCAGATCTGTGATTTGGTAGGTGGGGACAATAAGCTTGAGAATGTGTGAAGGGTTAAGTTGCGAGGAACACCAAATAGAAACCTGAGGTGATACAGCTGGTTTGGGCGGGGTACAGCAGGGTTGAGGAAAGGTATGATATTTGTACTGGAGCAATAAGGCAGCCACCATTGCCTGATTGCACAAATTATATAACGACATATAATGATAATGGCATCATCAACAAGAAACTTAACTTACAGGAACATCATAAAGTAAAATGAACAGAACAACAGTAAACAGTGTTGATGCTGAGGGTGCTTGTGGCTTGAAAAGTGAAGCTAGCATATTGAAATGAGGAAATAAAACTTCAATCATGTGTTAGTGCTTTGCAGCCTGAGAGAAAAGTAGCAAAAAGCTTTAACATTTAACTGAACAATCAGCACATGTGAAGTAAGTGCATTTGGCAAGAGACTCAAACCAAGTCTACTCACTGCTGTTTAGATGAAGGGCTACAAGAAAGAGGGAGACTTATATACTTGCCATAACCTCTTGTACATCGATTAAGATAACAGAAGAACTTACACTGACGTTTATTGATCATGAATATTTGGGAGATTTATTTTTTTGCAGTGAAGACAGAGCTCACAATTTAAAAAAATAAACCCAAAATATTCATGATACCAATTGATCTTGCTCCAGTTTAGATTACCTTTGTCACTTCTGACCGAACGTGAAGTTAAATTTCATTACATATATGTATGTATAGCTTGAAACAAAATTTAAATTCAAAAGTTGAAGAGTTAGGTTTCAGAGTGTTACAAGTGTTGAGTAATATTTCATCAATACTTCTGCAGGGAACATGGAAAATGTTGTACCACGCTCCTCAGAGCTCAGGTGAAGACACCAGCGAAGAAAGAAGGAAAACATTTCTGGATAAAACTTTTAAATGGTGATTTATCGATCAGCTTAACTTCAATGTTACCTGGGTAGGGTTTGCATAAACACTAGAAATCGAACACTCACCCTGATATCGTTTCTGTCCTCTTAGCACCAGATGAATCACTGCGGTAGGACTTATGTGAGAGAACTTTATGAAACAAGGGTGGCCCCATAGAGGTGAATTTGCTGGAATCTGTATCTAGTTCCTTGTCCTCAGGTAACGATGGCAGCGGACCAGGCTGGGACATTGGCCTGGCACTGTTAGAGCCGCTGGAGTGACTGGACTTTGGACTATCACCGTATGACTGAACATATTGCACATAAAAATCAGAGTTCAAGAACGCGGGATATGTCACATCTCTCATATAAGATTCAACTTCCGTAGCAGCTGTGTCATAAATATACTGATCCACTGCCATTTTCTTGTTGATTTTGTCCGAAATTTCTTGTTTCGTTTCTTTCAATAAACACCTCACGCCATCATTGCGTACGAAATGCTTGTAGATGGCCTTGACCAGAGAAGGGATATTGGTGCTCTGCGCACTCTTGCGCTTGAGTCCCTGACAAGCGAACCAGAAGTCAACTTCCAGCGCACCGCCACCCTCCTTATCCAGGTACTCTTTGAAGAGCTGGACTCCATCGCTGTCACTCAGGAGGTGGTTCAAGTTCTCAGCCCATTTCAGGTGGGGTGGGGTGCTGTTCTCGGTAAAGGGAGGGGAATTGGCAGCACTACCTTCTGGCTCATAGCCATTCCGGAGCTTCCATCTCTTCATGGTCCAGTTTTTGTGAAGAGGTACAGCTTGATTTCTCAAGGTTTGATTTTCGTGGCGTTGCAGCTGGGGAATGGCTTACCTCCCCTTTGTTCGAGGCGGCACTTTTGGTACTTTTAGTGGACGACTGACTCCTGTTACTCTTGTTGGACAAATGACTTTTGTGGGAGCCTGAGCTTTGTGTGGACATACCCCCATTTGACTGAAGCTCATTCTCCTCCCCGGGGACTGGGGGTCGTGGGGCAGATTCCGTGAAGTTGTTACCGCCGGAGTCATTGAGAAATTCATACACTTTGCTTGTCATCCTCGCTGGGACTCAGCATCTCCCATGAGGCCAGAGTTTGTCGTGCTGCCACAATGTCTTAGAGCCACATCTGAAATGACAAGATGAATCATTACGTTCCTGCAGTATCGTTGTCGACTTCTGACAGCTTTCAAATCAAATATGACCGATTGTAAAATTGCTTGAGACTCGGAATGACCCAAAGCATTTTCCCCAAAAAATATTTCAATTGTTCAAATTAATCCACCAAATCTGATAGGAAGACATCATTCATTTCAAAAGATAATAACAACCTGAATATCAAATGAATTAAACTTCAAAATCTAATATGACACTGTCCCCAAAAAATTCTATTCTCCTATTGATCAACACATACTTTGCTCAGGTCTAAGCCAAGTCCACACTCTACATCTCCATCGAGTACGAATGTCTATTTTGGCACAGGCAAAGCTATTTTTTATGTTAGCAAAGGATGAGGCTGACGATGGTCGTGTAGTCACCTTCTCTCAATCAATGCACAGTCCCGCTATCAAGCAAACAAGCTGATTGGTCATCGCTTACACAGTTCAAGCTTGCTTTTAGCATCAGATAGCATGTTTGTGTGGATGATTTTGGATTTTTGACCAAAACTCTGAGACAACCAAGCAAATAAAAGGAAACCTTTGAAATTCTATTCGTGATGTACTCTTTGTCAACTGACCGTGATCTCATTGTTCACTCCTTACTAGACGATGACACTAAATAAACTCAGCATTCACAACTGAGATAGAGGAATATTATTAATAAACAATAAAATGGCATACAAAGATTTTTTTATACAAAGCTTAAACCTTCCATTTAGATGTTATTATTTGACTATAATCATTCAATAATTTCTACAGTTACATGGACGTTGTAACTCTTTCAGTGTCAACTAATCTAACAGCAAAGACATATTTTCTAACCAACAAACACAGGTTGGTTATTTCTGATTCACTATTCCCAGTGGCGACATATGATTCTCAAATACCATCCTAATGGAATTGCTTTAAATCTTTGTGAAGCACTGCACTTGTGTATCCAGCTGATCTCCGTAAGCCCTGGTTTCGTGCAAGTAAACTTAACTTTTTTAAAACAATAAACTCCCAACAATACTAAAACCATTTTGACCTCAGACAAGGCAGCCTTTTTCTGATAGTACAGGGACATGGTTCAACTCAAGGCTGTTTGGATACTACTGACTTCATGGCTCCACAAATCATTTGATTTATGCTCTAATACTACTCCCGATCTCAACTAAGAACAGTTAAGAACCCTGAAATCTTTGAGACGAGAGGCCTAGCCTTTAAAAGAAAGTCCTACCAAAGTGAATACCATCAGTAAAAGACGATGTAAAAGACTTCCACCAACCCCACAAGCTTGACCCGAGAAACATTACATTAAAATCTAAGCTAAAAGGGTTAGGTCTGTAGCCATTCTCCCTTTGACGTTGTCAGTTCCCAAAGATACATGTGGAGAGAGGCTTTAGGAATATGCTTGCAGTTTGGGCTTTGATGTAAGGAAGAATGTTCTCTACTGTAATGAGAGGGCTCAGTCACCCAAAGCACTTCAAAGAATCTCCAGTATCGAGATCTGTGCTGGGGAATCCTACATACAGCCATATGTTTGCAGCCTTGCCCACATCCTACCAGAAAAAACACAGGCCAACTAAGACGAGTGAACCTCGTGACCTCGGACAAAGGGAGGGAAATCCATCTCTTTCACTGCCATGAAAAGAGGGCATAATTTTGGCTCCCCTTCTTAGTGGCCTTAACTGACATAGGGAGATCTTTTGACAAAAAAAGACATGTTGTATACATTCTCATGACAGTAAACTGAAAGCAAATGTTTCTCAAACACGTTCCTTCCATGTAATTGATGCAACACAGACTTTCAACACTTCAGAAGATAATTTGCACTTAGGAGTGGTTCAAAATCATCAAAGTATGCTTTGGCTTGATAAGGATTTTTTACAACCATAAAGCAGCAATATTAATTTCCTATCCAACCATGAAACACTTTGACAAAATCTTCCTCTGGTGCAAAACCGTCAAGATGAAGAGACTAACAGCTTGCAATGAAAGTTAAGACCATTTCAAACTGCTCTGAATTAATCCCAGGTTTTTCAACATTTATCATTACAATGATTCACACATTTTCCATGTTTTTACCATGCATACTGTTTCAATCAGTTCATGAAACTAAAACCATATCCACTACATAAGAGCATCAAAACATACATCAATGACACAAATTCAGGGATAGACATTGCCACTAGTTTGTTAGTCCAAGGCTAGTCAAAATCTAGAAGGACAAGTTGTTTTATCCCAAATCTATTAATTCACATAAACTAGTCTGAAATGAAAAGTGGACTAGTTTGTTTGACCAGCTGTATCTACCCCTGCTACTAAATGCCTGCAATTTCATTTCGTTTATACAGAGAAAAACAAAAATGAAGCTGTCTGAAACGTATTTAACCATAAAAGCAAGTATTCAGCATCTGACATACAATTAGCATAGGACAATATTCCAGGAAAATGTTAGCGCTAATATATTTATTCCTGTAACCCTGGAGAGGCATCAGCTTGCCACTGAGGTTTAAGCTCAAGAAATGGCACCGATCGATGGTGCCTGTCCCTGCAAACCCCAGCTTATCAGTAATGCTACCCGTGTCTTCACCAGACACACCACATATTATTCAATCAGGACTATTCCACTTACTAGCTGGCAACATGCAACCTGTACTCATTAATAGCAGATTTTGTCCTGTTCCATGGAATAAAACACGGCCGAGCTAATACAATCTGCTACAAAGCATAACACCACTCTCAGTCTCCTATAGGATATCGATCCCATATTCCATGGTCAGGACAATTAACTTTGTCATTGGTGACCTGTCAACTCTTCCTCAAGGATGCATGCTCCACAGCGATTAGTCTTAGCATGATGTAGTGTGTATGTCATCTCTTACTGTCACAACACAAGGAGGATATAGCAATTTATAGCATGTGTACATCTACCGGGTGATTATGGACTGTTTGCATATAATAACATACCAGAATTCACATCCCAAATCTCCTTACCTTGCACAATATCTTCCCAGGGCATTCTCAAGCATTTCAATCCTATTTTTTTTAAATAGATTTCCACGTAGAAGACAATACATGACAAACTGACCTTTACAACCGGCAGAAATAATTAATTTCTCTGTGCAAAGTCTACACAAACAATTGAATAGTGAGACAATGGATTTCACACCAAATAAGGAATATAACTTCTGCATGCCTTCCTATGACTAACTAGTGGATATGGGTTGATGGAAAACAGAGATGTGTGAACAAATATAGCTGTATCTGTTCTCACTTGACCAGCCTGCACGCACACATAAGGAATAATACATCAAAGAGCATCCTATGTCCAGTGTGTTAAAATCCAATCACCAGTTCATGTTAATCAAAAGATTAGTGACACATGAGGCTTTGATGTCTCGTTACAATTGTTAATATTCCTTTATTCCGCCAGCAGGAGCATCATGTGACAAGTTAACACATGGTCAGAGGATAACGGACGTATCAACGTACACAAAGATCAAGACTATCAAGTTCTCATTACCGACTTGCTATCTCAAATTATACGATATCTCTGACAAAGATTCACATTCATAAAGACAATCTTAATGTGTTCTACCTTTTTGTTTTTATACATTAATTCACTACACAGATCCTTTGATATTCAAGACTGTAAACTTTATGAACTTTGCGTATTTTGAAAGGAGAATTTGATATCGGTCTCTTTATGCAGATGCCTGGTCTTGTTGAAGCTTGGGAGATTAAGGTCGTCTTCTGAATTCATTTCATTTGTTTAATCCAAGAGATGAAATTCAAGCTAACTTCAAAGGCTCCAACACAATTATTTATACATACATACATAAATCACATTAAGGCCATTTCCTCAGATGTTTACAAATCATGTATACATTCATCTGCAAGTGTATGTCTATTCATGGGCAAAGAACTCTTACAGGAATACCAGTAGTACTGTATATTGAATGATTTTCTCATTGTATTCATAATGTAAAACAATTTTAATCACTGACCCATTGCAATAATTTTTCAATAATCACACAAACCAATTATTTCTTTTGTATTGTGACAATATAAACTATACATGACAGAACATTTGCAGAAAATGGCATGAGCAACCACTGCACCCACACTTGCTACTTATTAGTATCATTACTTACTTCCAACTGTTACACTATCTTGTCCCCCAAAATACTTATATCCATATCAAGTTCAGGAAGAATTTGTCATCTCTGAAAACATTTACTGGAAATGCATTTGTGAACATAATATTGATAATATATTTAAAAAGTATATGACGTCTGGGTGGGATTTACAAGCATTTATAAGTCAAGGCAGGTCCAACACAGCTATCATCAGATATCAAACAATACCAGTGGCCACTTATTAAGGATGCTAAGACTTGATTATCAATTACAATGTAGTTTACATGTCAGTGTCTGAAAACCACAGACAACAGGAAGTGGAAGTGGGGAGGATGTGGCCACCTAATTTGTTCATTGAAACACTAAAGGTGTGTCACTGCAGAAGTATGTGTGTCACACTTGTGAACTTGGTGAACTTGTGGACAATGACACACTGGTTTGAAGCGAGATAATGTGTAAATCTCACTGTGGTATAACCTGTATCACTGTGGTACATAGTGTTTCACTATAGCATAAACGGTATCACTGTGGTATAACCCGTTTTACAGTGGTACATTGTGTCTCACTGTGGCATAACCTGTTTCACTGTGGTACATAGTGTTTCACTGTCGTATAACCATATCACAGTGTTACATAGTGTCTCACTATAGTATAAACTGTATCATGGTGGAACATAGTCTCTCACTGTGGTATAACCTGTATCACTGTGGTATATAACCTGTATCACTGTGGTACATAGTGCTTCACTATAGCATAAACGGTATCACTGTGGTATAACCCGTTTTACAGTGGTACATAGTGTTTCACTGTCGTATAACCATATCACAGTGTTACATAGTGTCTCACTATAGTATAAACAGTATCATGGTGGAACATAGTCTCTCACTGTGGTATAACCTGTATCACTATGGTATAAGCTGTGTTACTGAGGCAATGTTACCCTCGCATAAAACCTCACCATCATATATCGTCTCACTATGATATAACCTGAGTTGCTGTGGCATGACATGTTACTATGGTATAACAAGTTTCACTGTGGTATATAGTGTCTTGTTAGGGTATAGATGTGTAAATTGCCGCAAACCATGTCTCACTGTTGTATAATGCAACAGTGATATTACCTGTGTCAACGTGGCATGACCTGTGTGACTGTCATAGCATGTGTCACAGTGTCACAACATTGAAAAATAAAAAATCTGGACCAAACAATCCAGTGATTAACAACATGAGCTACGATCTGCACAATCAAGATGTGATGACATGTCAACCCTGTCAATATGTCTGACCACCTGACTCCTTTAGTCACCTCTTATGACAAGCATGCATTGCTAAAGATTCTAAATCAGATCTTCACTGGTTTTAAAACACTATGTAAAATGTGTGTCAATGACATTTGTAACACATCCAGTGTTGTGCGTCAGTGATGTATGCACACCGCATGGCTATGGTATAACATCCAGTGAATGTCAATGATATATACATGCATTGTTATGGATGGAGTATAATAATTCAATGTGCATCAGTCGTAAATGCATGCTGCTTGGTTACTGCATAATATCCAATGTGCATCAGTCATATATGCATGCTGCTTGGCTATGGTATAAGAAAGCATGACGTGTGTTGGTGACACTATGTATTTCTGAGTTATATCACTAAGAGAGTGATTAAGTCGTTTATTTAAAACTGAAATCATGTAATTGGTGATCTTTCAATTCTAACCATGCAGAGTGTCAGGATAAAAATATGACAAAATTAATATCTTTTAATTCAGTTCCATGTAAAACTAACACTTACTGGCACCAACAAGAATAATAATTAAATTCCCACATACAAGGACAAATTGAAACATATTGCAGGGACCACCAGCTGATACACTGTAAAACTATCCCACCCTGCAGCCCTTCAATGTGCTAAGACCAGGATATAAATGATGTATACAATACCTCCCCCAGATGCTACAATAGTTTTAATTCTGTATCTACCCAGCTGGTGTCATGTGGAGGGATGGGAGGGTTATTACCTTCCACCATAACATCAAAGTGATATGCCCAAACAATGATACAGTGAAACAATTTCAGCCTTTTGTTCTGCTGTGAACAAATGTTGATGAACAGTGCAATAAATATTGCCATATTTCAATTATTTAGTCATTTGGATTATGATGCGGTTGCACCATTCACATCACACTGCATTTAACCAGGATCCAATTGAAAAAGTCCCTTTGATGATGGTCCTTTTTTTACAGGATCCCCACTGTGCAACATCTGGGTTTCCTATTTCAATTAAATGAATATAAAACCACATTGTAATAGTCACGGTGATTAAACAATACTTCATTTATTTTTCACATCTGAAAGATCAAAGGGGCTTAGTGTACTCTCTGAAACCAGTTGCAGAATAATTGCATGGTGGTACTAGAAAATGATTCAGCAAATGGTTTGAACATTACCACCAAGGCAATGAATCTATCACAATGTTATTTGAGCATTGATAAACATTGCACTTAGAACAGATGATACTTTCAAGCGTATCATACAAGGAGGATATCAAATTATATAGTCAGTATTGGAAATACTTTCATATCTACAATCTTTCTTGTTCCGCACCAGAATTACCATATTGTAACCAAAATAGATATATTCACCTTTCACCTTTGACAATGTCAGTGTATTGCAGAACATAAATGACTATATTTATTAAGTGGATAAACAATCCTAAATTAAATTGAAAAATATAATAATTGGAATTTTTTAAATATCGGACTAATTATTTGGGGGAAGCTTCTGGTTATTTTATTATCCACCATAGTAATTTACATTTTAGTCATAAATCCTCACTTTCAATAAAACAATTGTGAACACATTTACTGCTGTTGGTGTCTAAATAAGCTATTTTTACCATGAGAGAAATATAGATGACCTTTCCATATTACCTGTCTTAACCCTATTACTTGTCTATTCATCCCGAATAGTAAATGTAACAAATATACACCAACTGGGATATAAAGACAGTACCCAGATTGTGTGACAAGGGTTTCACTTGCAGCCCCAGGTAATATGGGTGTATATTGCACTGGCGGTAGAAAATGTATCACATTGTGAATCAGACTTGCCAGTGTGATCTATGTGTGTGGTCCCAGTACATGTGTTGGGAGCTGTGATAGGAGGGGGTCAGAACAGTGAAAGATTACTTCCCTGACATACAGGCAACACTGGCAACACTGCGTCCACTTTCAAACTCAAGAACAGTTGTATAACAGTCATGGAGGATAAATTCTAAGAAGTTTCTTTTCACTAGCCTGGGTTTACAAGCTTCTCAGTAAAAAAATCCCAAACAAACCAAAACAATAGTCTCGCTGAGGTTACACAGGCCATTAGGCAGGGCAATGCCTGTGTGATTTCTGCTAACTGTAGAACAATAGGATGCTAGCTTCTGTCTACCCATTAAAAAATGCCTATGTGACCTACTAAGGTTGTGGCAACAGTCCCGACCCCTAGGATGCATGCCTGACCTAGCTGAATTTTATCTCGCCTACTCCCTGTTACATTGACTCATTAATCTTTATAAACTACACTGACTGTATCAGACAATATACAGCATCTTTCCCCTAGCAAATCCAACAACGCAGGTCGTGTATAGGAGTTAAGTCTAGGTGATTTGGCAATGCCCTCACGATGGCAAATCGTGCTCTTTCTAACCCGATCATAGAAACAGACACACTTTCAGCTTGGAAAAGGGGATCGTATGACGATATTCCAAACCCAAAGCGAGCTATCTCTCTTCGTGCCACAACTAGCTGGCGCTACGGCCGAGAAATTTTATGGCTACTACCTCCGTTTCTGTGCTTTACGATCCCCTCCTTCTCCTTTGACTAAACTCGAGGCCACCGGCACCTCTGAGTTTCACAGCAAATCGTTTTCGCAAGCCGATCACCCCGGCTCAAAGCTAGCATGGCTTCACCACAAAATGTTTTTCATTTTCACTTTTCAACCGAATATCTAACCAAATATGCAGGAAAGAATATAAACCGTCGATACAAAACGCATACCTTGGAAGAAAGCAAGACTTATCGGCCAAAACAGATCAAAGTGGGGAGCTAAGACCGACTCCGTGCGTCCGCCATTACACTCAATGCAAATGGCGTCGCCCTGTGTTCAGACCAACGCCATACACACACCAGAGACTTATTCCCAAGAAGCAATTGAATATGTCATTAAATAAATAAAACGTACCATTAACCTACTATAGGATAATCACAAAGGCATGTTCATTAGAACCGCTCGGAAAGACGACTATCGCACGCACGGACTATTTCTAACATTAAACATTGACAATAAATGCATTGATATTCTGTAACATTAAAATCACCACTGTCAAATACTGATAATTCTAAAAATTAAATAATATGTGGACATGTCATAAATAATTGGTATGGTTTAAATCCTGTGGTAATACATAATACTAGCGGCTGTAGACCAGGTAGTTATGTGATACAAAGTAAATATCCAACGATATTCAAAGTGTAGAAATATCAACACTGCTCCACAATATGCAGCTAGCGGAACTGTTACAATAGTGTACTATAAAGAGTTGACCAAGTGCGCAAAACACAAACACTATTAGTAATAGCTATGCTCACGCTTAGAAACTCCCTGTTTCCAAAAATATATATACAACAAGCACATGTCAATTTACCGAGATTCATAATCAATAACAGCGTTTCGTTGCAGGAATAAACTCTTATATATAAACAAGACATGTCCAAGACTGCGATAACAGGTTATAAAGCTCAGTGATAACTTACCATATACACATTGTAAACAATAGAAGGATAAAGCACATGTAATTGAAGCAGGTGTATCTACGGTATCCAATAGAGTCCACCTGGGCAATCACGGCACACAATCAGTGTAGATACGAGCAACACTTATTAGCTGTGGATGAGGCGATGTACTCCAAAATCCAAATCACACATGAACTATAGAACGTCTTCGGAGTGGTAATCACAGCTAGAAAATCCAATGAACGACTTTTGCGAATAGCAAGCTTTCCACATATACGATTCCGTGGTCCCGCTTGTCCGTACTCGACGCTACATGGAGCATTAGGACCTGCATATGGCGACCGACCTAAAGCTCACCGCATGGCTTACCTTATCCACTCACATTGTAGACAAAGGGGAACCCGGCCTCAAAACATCCATGGGAAGGAACAAAAACGCTGATAGAGATTTGAAAAGTTTGAATCTATAAGATCAAAGCCACATGCCCGCCGCCGACAATCCCCATACACCGTGACGTCACAGCCTTTAGAAGAACCGCACCAATCAGCGCGGAGATAAAATCAACATTGAGAAAAATGCCCTGGGCGAGTCTAAGCGGCGAAGGGGTGTCAGTTTGTTTCCAATATATTTATTATGACTCACGTTCATTAGAAAACACTTTCTATGACTTACATTTTATGTACAATAGTACATTTGTGAATTATATGCAATATTTCGTACACCACATTATAATAATGGATTTTCAAACAAATACAGCCTAGCCTTTCATCCCTTGAGACGTTGTTACAATTTGATAGCTTCCGATAGCAACACGGAGTTGGGAGAGTTTGGAGTCTTACAGATTCACCGTCAATGTTTTCGCTATTTTTGTCCCCTCAAGCGTACTAAAGATGTACTTTTTGCCATGCCACCATAGATATAGGTTTATAAGATCTTAAAAACCCAAATTTTTCAACTTATACCGTGTTTCATGGACGAAAAGATGGTAATTCGTTCGGTATTGGAGATAATACCCTTGCCCTTATAAATTACACATGTTTGCCGAAAGGTCTCTTTGATGTACGGTCACTACATTAGACACAGCTGTAAATCAAGCCTGTGGTGACGCCGCCGAAACAGACCAGGCTGGCTAGAACGCCTTCAGCACTGGTGAACTGGTTGTCACAAACATATTGAATCGTGTTCGGTATTTACCTCAGACGGGAGAGTCCTACTCCATAAGAGAGGACACTTTTGAAGACTTTTAACTTTCGGGGCACCTCGATGTATGAAATCTAACCATTTTCATCGCGGCCGATTTATCACGCTGGCAATATGCCACGAAATGTTTCACTCCGCGTCCCTTTCATCTGCTGGGGACAGATGTTTGTACTATCGGCATAGCACAAAGACAAGGTCGAGTAATTAGTGAATACACAAAGGGATCTCAACATCAAAGGGAGCCGAGGTGTGGTCTATTGTTATGGTCTGAGCGCCGCTTGATGGCTGATTGGGGGAAAGGCACGAGTTGTGGGGTGTAAAGTAGGCGTGGCCCAGCGCGGAACTCCAAGCGGCTCGGCTATAACAAGTTTGGCTTTAATCTTTCAATACCTGTCATCTCGCTGTGCTTATTTTTTACACTTTCGGTTAATTAATTAACTAATTCATCAAAACCAACCCGCGGCGTCTTTGATGTAGTCGGAGGCTCATGCGTCTCTCCTCGCTTCAGAGAATTACAAACTTCCTACCTAAGAGCGGTTATAGAATATCGACGATTAGATGACTCGAAAAATAGACGGTGACAAATTGGCGCGGATTGTCAACACAGTCAATGGCGTAATGTTGTTAGAGTGTTTAATCTCGATTTATGCTACTTTAAATTTTACTTGATCCCCCAACTCTTTTGATCTTTTCATTTGAAGCTCTTGATCAGGGTTCTTAATATCGGATTAAGCTTTATGTGTTTATTTGATGTTATAAACATAAAACCAGGTTTGTTTGGTTATATTCCAGAATATGTTTGATATGGAAGATCAAAACAAACCTTGTTGTCATGGACAAATGCCACTCAAAATGGTTATCCTCGTTGTCAAGTATGAAAAAATATAATAGGATTAACTCCTTCCTCTGAAAATCAAAAAGTAAATCCGCCGCATAGACTATTTCACCTGAAATAATCCGATATATGAACAGATTATGTGTACTCGAATGTGTAATAGCAGGAACATCAAACGATGTTGGCAACGTGGGTGTATGTCCCAGGGGGGCGGTGGGGTAGCCTAATGGTTAAAGCGTTGGCTCGTCACGCCGAAGACCCGGGTTCGAATCCCCACATGGGTACAATGTGTGAAGCCCATTTCTGGTATCCCCTGCCGTGATGTTGCTGGAATATTGCTAAAAGCGGCGTAAAACCAAACTCAGTCAGTCAGTATGTCCCAGAAACAACTTCAAGCGTCCATAAAATGTCTTCCTTTACTTCCTGCTCAGTGATGTATCGCGCTCGGCATGCGGATTCAGGAAAGTCGTGAGGCGGCACACATCAAAGGAATGACGCACCTGCCGGCAGCACCTGTCCAATCGCAGGGGGTTAATATTTCCATACGTGGATTGGGAAGTGTAATGGTATGGGGCCAATCTCTCTATCACATCATTGTGAAGTGTAGGATGGCTTACATATTTGGAGAGCCACTGTATAACACCACCTTAATTAATTCTTAATTACATTGAATTTCATTACGGTAATAAATCAACTGAAACACGATACCACCCCAGTTATAAAGATATGTTCATGATAAGATACATTAGTTTGTAATGCAACTTTCAATAAAAGATTGAGGCATATTATTATGGTAATCAAACTAAATATTTCCAGTGAGATCACAAAGATATAATATAAGCGTTAATGAACAAACAAAGAACGTTTGAAATGTAGTGTTATCTATGCATGTATATAGATATAATGTACAGTTTATATATTCCCCATCACTCAGTGAATTTGCATCCTCACTGGTAATGGACATGTGCCTATCATAATAACCGTCACTCTTATCAATACACAACGTCCGTCCGTTATTTATCTGACTAATGGATGGTGTTTAATTAATAAATCAAGTACAGTAAAACGAGAATGACATTTTAAAAGATTAGGAACAATAAATTTACCTGAGAGTCACTGCGACAGGAAAACACTCCGTATCTCCAATGATTGCTGTGCGTTTGTGACGAGAAAACATTAAAGTATCTAGAGTTACGTCCCCTTATCGTGATACCGGTGACTAAAAGGCGTTTCTTTGGTCGATCATAATGCATGGCCAATTAAGCATCAAAGGGCTTCCTCAAAGGCTGCTGTCGATCGGATTTCAAAGATTAAAGCAGTAATGTAACAAGCTCGTATAGATAAAATGGAATAAATTGCACGCCACCATATATAATATTTCGTTTTAAGTTATTCTTCAGATCTGAGCCCTGAGTTTCAATTTGTTAGAGAGGGATAACTTCATTAATTAGGGTTGGGAAATAAGGGGATTTTATTTCAAACAAAATGATCACAAGATCGCCCCTGCTCAGGTACAGACAGCGACAGTAATTGTAAAGCATGAGCGATTAAAAGAGCAAAAGCATTTATTTCAAAGGGGACATAACGTTGCCTAATCTACGTTATGAAATTAAGGAACTTTTCTTCTTCAAATGACATGGGACTTTGTTTCTACGGAGTTCTTTCATTTCTCTGTCTGATTTAATGGCGGAGATGAGCCCGGAGCGTGCGCTTTGAGGAACGAGACGGGGATGGGGGAAGTCTATGGTGGATAAGCTGTAATTTGGAATGAAGAGAACGCTATTTAAGAAGCTGTAATGAAACACCAGATCTACACATGAATATTTCAACGGTCTTCTAGAAATTATAGTTGGAGATTAAAGTGTTGTCGGGGTATTATATAAATGAGTTTCGATCAGTGTTGTATTTAATCTGTCTAAAAACTGTTTACTGGCATTATTTAAGAGACAGAAGTAAAACTGATTTAAAATAAAAGCCAGCTAGGACAACACATTGTGTACAGGGCAACATGGCCTCGCAACTCCTTGAGTTTAAAGAAATAACGTTATATATAAATATATAAAAACTATGCTACTTAAGCAATCTTTTGTTTGTCGATTTTGTTCTGCACGTAGTTCCAAATATATAAACTTTGTAATAAGGCAGCATGTGGATTGAAGTGGCAACTCTACCTAATCCCATTTATCTATATTGGATCCTAAAGGAAGAATAAGTTGCATAGTTTTATCGATAAATATATAAATAAATCTACGTTGCTTTGCCTAATTATACTCGATTTCACATAACGTCCCTGTGCAATGACTATGCGCGACAACCCGGATGTATCCGTGTGCACGGCTGATATCATTTACTAGTGGTTGTCAAGAGCGTTTTGCATTCGGTTCCCTTACACAGGTGCATTTCAGTGGAAGGTGTATAAGTACCGCAGTCTAAAAACAGGTCATCTGATTGGTGTTCTGATATGATTATTTCTATTCCAAAATTAGATTATGTTTGATTGTTTAACGCCGCACTAAACAATATTCCATCTATCTATCTTCAGTCTGTAAATAATCGAGTCTTGATCAGACAATCCAGTGACTGACATCACGAACATCGATCTACGTAATTTGGATACGAAGACCTACGTCAACCACATCAGTGTTCTTGACCACCCGATCACGTTAGTTACTACAATCATGGTTCGCTGAAGACAAATTCTAACCCGGATGTTCACGGGTTGTTTCAAAGTTAGAATGCTAAAGTAGCATATCCAGGATGTTTTATATTTAACGTTTCATTGTATCATCGTCAGATGTTGGTCATAATATCAACCACTTGGTCTGTCACAGATTCGATTATTTACGGCCGCTGTGATATAACTTTGGTATTGCTATCTGCGGCGTAAAACAACACACCCCTAAGCAAACAGAGAAGCGCTTGTGTTATCAGCGTCTAGTACAATAATGACAAACGTCCATGTATATGTGGACCTTGGGGGAAGAAATGGTCTGAGTTCTCTTTGTTGTTCGGGTCGACAAACTGACCTTACGTGACCCGGCTAACAATGTGTCATCGTATGGTCCGCATGGTTGGTTACTGTGAATCACTGGTTTGTCTGAACCACTGAGTTGGTGGTGGTGGAATTGGGTTTAACGTCGTGCTTGAGAATATTTCGCTCATATGATGACGTGCATGCGTGTGTATGTGTAGGTGCGGCTGCTTGTACTAGCCCAGACTGAAGCTGGTTTTATAGTGCTAGCCCACTGAGATACCATGCCGCAGTGAAGCATGAATACCCCACTCAGACACATTATACTGACTCCGAGCCAACCAGTCCTTGTTATAC